AGAGAGAGAGAGAGAGAGAGAGAGAGAGAGAGAGAGAGAGAGAGAGAGAATAGAACAGGATCAGACCTGTTATTATTGCAGTGGTACCTGAGGACCCAAAGAACATACTGAGCTTTGTTTGGAGCTCACAGATTTCTCCACATTCTTCAGATCCTTTAATATTCTGAACTGTAGACATTAAAATCTACCAATTTTACACTGAGGGACACTATTCTGAACTTGTCCCATTAATTTTAGACAGTTTTTTTCCCACAGACTGGGTGTACTTCTGAGAGATTCAGCCTCTCTAAAATTCTCTTTGTGTCCCCACTGCTCCTACTGGCCTGTTGCCAACTGAATAATTAATTACAAAATGCTCATTTTGCTGTCCCTTATTCATATAAATCACCTCTTCTTTTTAATCAAAAATGTTCTCTTCTTCTGTTTCAAACATTTGAGATATTTACTATGATCCACTGTGAAGAAAATATGGCTTCATGAGATTTGCAATGTTTTTTATTCAAACTTTGTTGTGGAAATATTTCTTTAACAAAGACAGAAATACGTGGTCCAAGAATGAAGGTACTCCATGAAATGATCAGCTGAGTTTTATTACAACAACAGGAAACACAGAACAGCATAGAGCCATCATACATACTATTTAACAAACACATTATGTCATCTGCGAAGGAAATGCTGGGTCAAGGGAAAACACAAAGATAAACACAAGTGATATCTAAGAATGATTGTTAGCAAATCTTGTTCCGACTTTAATCATCCTATCTGCTGATGAACAGCATGTCATGAAAACTAAGGTCATTAAAGTCTTCTGAATTACTGGTTTAAACCTAAAACTATTAGCTCTATTACAACTTCAAATAAAGACATTGCAGTCATGGCATGATAAAAAGTTTACACAAGCAGGTGAGTAGGTTATATTCATGTGTTAAAACCATGAGTCCCTGTAAAACACTGTTACTGGTGTGTGATCGTGTTTTTTAGCTGGTAATATCATCAACACGTTGTTAATATTTCCCATCACTTGTGCATGTTTGGCTGCAGATTTTACTGAATCTAATGAGAACTTCCTTCTATTAGAAATCTAAATATTCTGATGGTTTTAGGCATAGATGTGTATACAATGTGCTGGTGATTTAAAATATACTAATCACACTCTCTGTTGTTGGTTGTCGCTGCTTGTATGTGTAATTATCTCTTACTATTTATAGTTTTTACTGAATACTTTTCTTAATTATAGTTCTCTATTCAATATGCTGTCACCAGGACCTGTGCAACCAGTTTTGTTCCATTTCATGAACAACTGATGTTGTGGGAATAACAAAAAACATTCTTGAATCCTTAAATTAAACGATGAATTATTTCTAAACAAGCTGTATCCACCTGCTCTGTGTTGAGTGTACATAATCTTTAGGCCTGCTGCAAACAGATTCTCTGCTCTGCACTGGATCAACATGCAGGATGAGGATGATAATCCATTCAAACTCAGAGACCACCTGTTCAGTTATTTCTGCTCTCTGCTGCCCTCTGCTGGATTCACTGATGGAGTGTTTTTTATGTAAAAAAAATCCATTTTTTAATTTTAGAGTTTAAAAAATTAAGATATAATAAAACTTCTATGATTTGCCTCAAGTCAAATTTAATCTCAAGTGAACAAAAACAACAGATTTAAGGTGTCATTATGTCTTATACAAAAATGAGGCCAAAATAGGAAAACTGTGCATAAAAAAAAACCAGGTTCATCCTTTCTGCTTCCACAGGATGTAAGAGGTTTAATATCATCCAGCATTTGCTGCTCTGGAGCAGACAGGTGTGTTAACACAACGCCAAGATGGGAAGACATCAGCAATAACCTTAGAGGAGCTGTTGCTGCCGTCTATCTTCCAAACTAGAGAAAACTTTCAGGTGCACACATAACATGTTTCCTTTAAACAACAGGATTGGTAATTATGCACACAGAAAGCCATTTTAAATGTTTTCCCCCAAATATCCACTTAAGGGCTGCACACAACTTTGTTATCTGTTCCTTTAGGTTAGTATTGTTACATCACAGCAACAAAGTCTCAAGTTTGTCCTGTGTTTCAACAGGAAATGAGGAAATTCAGGGATTTTGAATAAGAAAAATAAAGTTTATTGAAATGTGTTTATAGTACAAAATATTACATTAATATGACAATTTAATGTGATTAATATTGTTTTTACTTTACCTTAAATTTATATGAATTTTTACACATATTTTTATTATAATCAATAATCTAGAAATATACTTCAGAATAAAAAAGTCAATAAAAAATGCCTAAATGATAAAAGTTGAGCAGCAGTTTGTACCTCTGTTGAAACTGTCACCTTCAGAAGCGACAAAATTATTTCAATAAGCTCCACCTGTTGTAACGGCTGCACCATTAACACCAGTCCAACAGACCATCAAGCACCATGAAGACCAAGGAGCAGAGGTTTGACGGAGTTGGGAAGCTGTACAGATCGGCATTGAGTTATGAAATCTCACCGCCCTGAACATCCCACTGACCATTAAATCTGTTGTTAGAAAATAGAAAAACAAGTTTGTTTTTTACCAGCAGGGACTGAAAGACAGTTAGAGGAAAGATGGATGGAGCAAAATACAAACCAGCATCAAGCTGAGAGCTCAATTCAGCTGGGTTGTACAGCACAGACTTCGAACTCTATAAAAATATTGTTGTTATTACCTCGGCCAAGGGCGAGGTAATGTTTTTGGTCGCATATGTCTGTCCGTCTGTCTGTGGACAACATTACTCAAAAACTTGTGGACAGATTGTCATGACATTTTTACCACATGTGGGTACTGGCTCAAGTAACACACCTTTAAATTTTGGTGATGTTCCGGATCACGATGCGGATACGGGAATTTTTTTTCTTTTAACACTCTGAGATCGGCAAAACTGTGATGCTTTCACAGGGCGTAAGTTTCAAATTGTCCAGCAGGTGGCACTGTAGTATTGGTGTGCCCCTTTGTAACTCTTATAGGATGGGGGAAACTGGTCTTAGAGCTCTCCGAATGCTTCTAGTATTGTTTTTGTTTTTTATTTACTTCCAAATAAAACCAGATTTATGATAAATAATTTTCGCCATAATTTTGTGAGCATCTTTTATGCATTTGCTGCACATACAGTGAACGTTTTGTGACCAGGAAGTGCTTGAATGCAACATGACGCCCATTTTTCTGATTTCCTGAAATGCACATTTCCAAAGCAACCAATAAAAAAACAAAAAAAAAAGTTTGTCTGTACGCTCGTGGAGAACATGAGTGTTCAACAGAGTGGTCAAAATTATGGTTTTGCTGAAAATAATGATACCAAACAATACAAGGTCAATAGTTTTTAAGATGAGAATATAAGAGTAAATTCAAAATTAGCCAAAATGGACATTTAGACCCCGGACCTTAGAGGGTTAAATTATATGTTGTTGTATTATCACTTAATTATTACATAAGGTTGTATGGTAACAAACCCAACCGGTCTACATGTGTTTTGTGGACTTGGAGAAGGCGTTCGACCGTGTCCCAAGGGGGACTTGTGGGGGGTTCTCCAGGAGTATGGAGTACCGGGCCCTTTGATATGGGCTGTCAGGTCCTTGTACGACCGGTGTCAGAGTCTGGTGTGCATTGCCGGCAGTAAGTCGGGCTCGTTTCTGGTGAGAGTTGGACTCCGCCAAGGCTGTCCTTTTGTCACCGATTCTGTTCATAACTTTTATGGACAGAATTTCTAGGAAGGTGTTTAGGGG